GGGTGGATATTGTTCATGTCAACTTGTGTGAATGGGATTTTTTTTCCTTTTTTTTTTTTTTTTCAGAATGTGGAAATTCCAGATTTGAACAATGGCAATTTGCTGTCTACTTGCAGCTTGGCAGCAGTTGGGGAGACTATTTGTTAATTTATTCAACAAATAATTATTGAGCACCTGACATGCGGCTGCTACATTTTACACAATACCTGTAGGTTCATATAGAAAAATAGCTGGGAATGACCAAGTCAATCTGTCTTAAAATTCGAGAAAGTAAATAGCTAATGAATAATTAATATATCAAGTACACGTAGTTCTGGTTTTCCTACATAAATTTGGAGAAAATTTAAGTTTTATTTGCCATAGATTCTGCTTTATAGAGCCAATTTTTTTTTTTTTTTTTTTTTTTTTGAGATGAGTCTCACTGTGTTGCCCTGGCTGGAGTGCAGTGATGCAGTCAACAGCTCATGGCAACCTCAAACTCTTAGGCTCAAGTGATCCTCCTGCCTTGGCCTCCAGAGTAGCTGGGACTACAGTCACATGTAGTCCCACCACACTTGGTTAATTTTTATTTATTTGTTTATTTTTTTAGAGATGGGGTCTTGCTATGTTAACCAGGCTGGTCTTGAACTCCTAGCCTCAAGCCACCCTCCCACCTTGGTCTCCCAAAGTGCTGAGATTATAGGCATGAGCCACTGTGCCTGGCAGAGCCAATCTTTTGAATGTCAGTGGTTTACTGGATCACACTACTCCTTGCTGAAGTCCAACTCTTCCTTTATAGCATCCTGTTACTTTGCAGTGCAACTGTGTTTCCTAATTTGTCATTGTAATTCTGTTTCAGTATATCACATTCTGAATATAAAAATAATTATTTGCTTTTGAGCATAAATCATTTTATCTTGAATTTATATATAGATGTATAGTTCTTCATAGTGTCATTTCATTAAGCAGTTTAATGGATTTTCTACTTAATGGACTACTATCTGCGTATAGCAAGTTGTAATAAATTATAATGGTCTCAAACATTGTTCAAAGTAGCATTTTATTTTTTGATGTTATCAATTTAGAAAATAGGTAGAAATGGTACTTCCCAAAGGTTTTGATCTTTAAGTATATTTGTTAGCTAGAAAATGTCTTTATGATGAAATTTGGGCAGAGAGAACAGTATGACTAGATGACAATATTTAAGAGTATTAAAACTGTTTTATATTAACTACTCTCACTTGTCCAGCCAGTTCACCTATCTAAAAAACAGACAAAATCTGGTTATTAAACTCTTAAGGTTCTTAACAGCCAAAATGATATCATCATCCTTGCAGTAGAGATTAATTCTGACATACATCTGAAAAAAAAAATCAACAATGAAGAAATTGAAGGTGGTAAGAAGGGGAGAGAGAAATTGAGGAAGTAAGCTCTCCTAGAGAGAGATTTAAAAGCAGCATAATAATTTAAAACAGTATGTTACTGGCACATGATTCATTCTGTAGGTTATGTGGAACAGAATTGATAGTCTAGAAATATTTAAGAATTTAATATGATGGGTCTATTAATATATAAGAATTTAATGATTAGAGGCATCTTGAGACAATGGAGATAGATTATTTAATAAATGTTATAACTGGTTAGCAATTTAGAAAAATAGCTTGTATTCCTATCACACACCACAATAATTTCCTAATTTCCCTTTAGTTCCTGAACTGTTGCCTTGAGTTAGATGCCCTTGTATGGGGCAGTCATGTTTCTTGGCAGAAAAAATAACTTTTACAGCATATGGGACTGAAGAGTAAGGAATATACTGCCCTTTCAGGCCTTAGGAGCAATAAATTCAAATCAGTTGTCTAGCACTGATGTCCACAATCCACAATCCATGGCCTGTTAGGAACCCAGTGGCACATCACTGCCTGAGCTCAGCTCCTCTCCCGCCCCTGATCCCCACCCCCCCCACCTTGTGCTTGGAAAAATTGTCTTTCACAAAACTTAGGAACCTGGCTTCATAGCAGGAGGTGAGCAGTGGGCAAGGGAAGCTTCATCTGTATTTATAGCTGCTCCCCATAGTATTAGCATCACCTCCCCCTACCCCAGCCCCACCCCTGCCTCCGTCTGTGGAAATATTGTCTTCCATGAGACTGGTCCCTGGTGCCAAAAAGGTTGGGGACCACTGGAATATTCATTAACATCACTTGAGAGCTTGTTAGAAATGCAGAGTCTTAGGCCCCACCCCAGACTTATTGCATCAGAATCTGAATTTTAGCAAGTTCTTCAGTTGATCTCTGTGCATTCACATTTGAGAAGCACAGCTTTAGAGGGGCTGCTTACATTAATGCAGTTTTATTTTTTTCTTTTTGATATAGTAGTAGCAACCTCATTTACATAGATCCAATAATTTAGACCCAGGCTCAACTTATTTTTTTTTTTTTTGTAGTGCCAGGTTATTTCAATAAAGGCTTATTTATCTCCAGTACTTTATTGTACCTTGTTTTAGAAATGTTCACGTGATTATAAATTTAGCTTAATTTTGAGCTTTTAAAGTAGTAACCATGACACATTTGCCTGTTATTCCAAAATTATTAGGGTTCCTTTTAAGGGACATTTATTACTTAGGACTGGTTTAAGGTATTATTTTTAGGGTTTTTTTTTTTTTTTAATTGTCTCTTCAAAGGAAGTTTGACACAGGGACTAAGAATACAGACTCCCAATTGTTTGACTCCTGGCTTCTCAGCTCACTAGCTCTATGAACTTGGGCAAGTTATTTATCTTCCTTGTGCCTTTTTTCCCTCCATCTAATACCTATTTCATAGAGTTGCTAGGATTAAAAGTTAATATATGTGATTTCTGATCTCTATATTATAAAGTCAACTCTTTATTACATGTTCTAATAAAAGAGAGCTGATATGATAATCTAGAACAGTTTTTCCAAAACGTATGAGTTTGATATATCACAGTGTTGCCACCCAACCAGGAATCTTGGAGTCATTCTTCATTCTTCCTTCGCCACTTCACCCAATACCTTCTCCCCTAAATCTGTCTTGTCTGCCCCATCTCTGCTTCTGTTGACTTGATCTAGGCTTTCATCAGCTCTAGCTTGAACTACCATAGTAGCTACCAACTCAGTCCTCCAGTCCCATCCTGACACTGACACAGTGTCCTGCATAAAAGTTGTTACTAGCTCTTTGTTGCAAACTCCTCAGCATAGTGGTGTCGTCCTCAGGAAAATGGGGGAGGGTTTAGTAAGGTAATGTATGTCTGGAACTTCGTAGACATTCAAATGCTAGTTAATATTTTTTTAAGTATGACAGTTTTTCATTTATCTTTCTGAAACTTTTCCAACAGTTTATGTTAAAATTAGTATGTTGTCCATAAATATATCACTGGGTAAGGGAACCTGGAAATGAGCATAGTGCCAGGAAAATGACAGCTTGAAATGAAAAATTAATGTAATGAATTAATGATTGAATAGTGGCATGAAGAGCAATAGCCCATATTCTCAGTTGTCTTTCTTCAGTTAATGTCTTTTATTTATTTTTTATTTATTTATTTTTTTTGAGACAGAGTCTCACTGTGTTGCCTGGGCTAGAGTGCCGTGGCGTCATCCTAGCTCACAGCAACCTCAAACTCCTGGGCTCAA